CAATTTTGAAGTGTGGTAAAATATTGCGGGTGCATTGATATTTTTCTTCAGTTGCAATAAGTACGTAAAATAATTTGTTTCTGTCGTAGAAAATGAAAGAATGAAGGTCTGATTAAGGAATCGTTCGAAATAATGAATTTTTCACATCGGGACACAACTATAACGACTATTTTGTATCGTTTTGTTGCAGTTAGCTGACGTATAGCTTCATTAGTCCACTGTTCCACGTGACAAGCCACTTCTCAGTCACGTCTCATTCGAATCACGTTCGTGTGGTCACCACTTGTTAGAAATGTAGATGAGATCAGCAAGCACTTCAGCTAAGGAACCGTGGATCTTGAAAACTCTTCTTGTTACTCAAAAGTATTTGCTTCACTACATATGTAAATTGCAATCCACGGTCTCCACAGTTAGCACTGTGGTAGCTCTTTTGAACTTTGGTACATTAGGGGGATTGATTAATGTTGGACAGTGTTGTAAGATTAGACGGGATACGCAACGGATTAACTAATGCTGGATATGAATCGAGTGATTTTTCGAATACAGGATATTGGTGAGTAGCTAAACTCTTGACGATCATATCAATAACATGTTTTCTTTGTTCGAGCATAAGGCATGAAGTTTGTTTTGGTTGAATTTTGCTATCTCTAAACGATCAAATTTATTTGCCACCTGACAGTCGCCGTTTACGATAGTATGAAGGAGTCATTTTAGAGGGTAAATTATATCAAAGTTAACAAGTGAGTTTCTCACAGGAATTATTAACTCAGCAATTGAACCAACTTACACCAGATGCATAAATGAGCCCGATGCATAAATGCTTACATCCGGATTTTGAAACGTTTTGCTGTGATGCTAAGTGCTTCTATCTATCCACTTATTAATTTTGTTCACAACTTAGTATTATTCCATACAATCCTNTGCTGTGATGCTAAGTGCTTCTATCTATCCACTTATTAATTTTGTTCACAACTTAGTATTATTCCATACAATCCTGCATATTTTCCACCGAATACTTTTAATCTCGTCCACTGTTCGAATTTATTCGAATTTGCACACTTTTTAACGAGAAAATGTTGAGATTACACTACACAATCCGAGTTAATCCCTCTTTCAAAGTTTCTTGCGTTATCGAATCCGTTAATGTTTGATGGATGAGCTTGATACGGAGATAAATCAACGATCATCCCCTTTGTCACTCACCAATCTTGAAACGCTCGAGAACATGGAGCTTGAAACTTTGCACTGTGTTGCATTACGTCTTAAGCACTGGAAAATTTGGTTTCACTGAATCACTTTCTATGCTCCCATAAAGAAGCAATTATCGACTATCATTGAAAACAAGTACATTGAATCGAGAAATCATTTATTCATCTCTGAATGCGAACGACACGTCAACTAACCAACTATGAGGATGCCACTCGAACGGTTTTCTGGTCGTTTTTCTCGNCATCTCTGAATGCGAACGACACGTCAACTAACCAACTATGAGGATGCCACTCGAACGGTTTTCTGGTCGTTTTTCTCGAACGTTTTTTTCTTGAATGCCAAAACGTTTATCACAATTGAAGTACAGCTCATTCATGAGTACATCTCATGCGTATCAACCGCAACCATCACATTGGAACACATTTCCTACATGTGTGAAAGTAAGACAGAAAATGGCGTTCACAAACATAAGGCATTGAAGAAAGTTGAATAATTTCCATTTCAAGGATGCGTCGTCGTAGCAAGTTACGATTTAAGTAAAGAGCAGCGGGAGGGTCAGTGCACTCTGAGCAATCATGAAACAGGAAGTATTCAGGATAACGATGCATCCACAAGTCATGATAGGATGTCATTTGGGACGGCAAAAATACATCTGCCACCTTGTGTGAACGATTAAGCGTAAGCAGTCGTCATTTAGCACAAATATCAACAATGAGCTGTACATACCTATAGCAACGCGATATGTGTGTGTGTGACCGCTGGCTGCTGTGTAAAACTGTTGGAATTTGTTCTAATCATAAGCAACCTCGTTTCATTTGAGTCAAGAACCTTGAATCAAAAACCAAGATGCTTTATTCATCCTTTTAGCACACATAATTCAGCAGCTNTGTTGGAATTTGTTCTAATCATAAGCAACCTCGTTTCATTTGAGTCAAGAGCCTTGAATTAAAAACCAGGATGCTTTATTCATCCTCTTAGCACATATAATTCAGCAGCTATTTTAAAACGCAACTTCTTTCTATGAAGCGACACTTATTAAGCATCGATTTCACACTTTTGCCTTTACTTACTCGTCGACAACACCCCGTCAAGTCTTCTGCAAATATGTACGTATATAAGCTCGAACTCTTGAAATTTCTGTTCGGTTTATTCTTCTCTCGCTGGTGTCTAGGATGGGTGAAAAGTATTGCTGATGCAATTTTTTAAACGTTGGCCGGATGAAAACATTTCTTTTGCACTATTGCCGACTTGTCAGCAATAAGCATTTTATGATGATCTTCAATGTGAATTAGAATATGTCTGTGGTTTTTCGATCGTTTCAATCATTTTCGATGATAATACACTGTGAATACTTCAGATTCCAGAAGAACATCTGCTTCAAAAATTGTTTATTTTCAGTTTTTAAAAAATCCTTCTAATCCACATTTTCAATGTTTTCAATCAATCTTAATCAGTGCATAAACAAATGTTAGTCATTCTCAAACTGAAACCAAAATTTTCTCCTTACGATCAAAAAATCAACATCGGTTTGTTAAACAAAATTTGAAATGTTGTTTTTACTTTCTGCCAACTGTTCGAGTGCTCATCCCTAGATCGAAATTCCTTTAATGAGCAGCAATTTATCATTCGGATAAAAACCGAAAAACACTTGCGTTAAAACATTTTCGTCTATCATTCACCATTATTACGCATGATATATCTCTCGAAGACATTTAATGGAATATTCACATAATTCTAATCTGAATATTCCTACACCAGTAAATTATGCAGCTATCGTTCGTACATTCCTCTCGGCATACCTCTAAGTAAAAATCATACAGCAACCACTGTTTACAATGCGCATACCTCACTTTATTTCTCAATCAGCGATTCGAACAAATTCTGAAGGCACATTCCTGTTCAATTGCGCATTTGTTGTAGTTCCTTTGCATCGTCCACACAACATGAACACTGCAGCGAATAATGTTTCGGCTCTTTTTCGTTTGTCTCCAATAAAAACCTTACACATCAGCAAAATCTTCATCAATTTTCCGATTTCAATATTTGTCACATCAAATTTTGGTTTAATTATAGTAGCAACAAGTAAACTATCCGCTCAAATTAGAACTCTTGTTGAGTATGCGCATGAAATCCAAACAATAATAAAGCGACTGAAGCAGAATAGAGTTCGGTCGGAGAACTTGAGGAGTAGCACTCAGGAGCACCTGATACCTGGAGCTCCGAGCATTTTCAAGGTTTTAGAAACCTCCAACATTACCCTACCCTTGGGGGCTCCAACGTCACGGATCTCGAGAATTTACGAGATCTTGGGATCTCTCGACTCCATTCTCTGCTATCGGAGGTTCCGACCTCGGGTACCTCAAGCCTGATTCGGCGCCCCACCCAACTGTAAAGCGGATTATCGGACATGAAGGCGTATATGTCATGGTGAAAGTGTGGATGATTTATGACTCTTCCACGTTATGATGAATATTCGAAGAATGAGTTTCATTCTCGTCAGTTTCCTGAAAATTGATATCAGTTCAGAATCATTTACATGGTGGTGCTGAATTATGCTAGAAAGATGTTCTCTGAATAATACTTCCGGAAAACATCAGCGCTTTTTTCTTAAGAATACATTTAACAGTGGAAGTCGCTAGAAATAGTGGACGAATAAGAAATGCTTAATTGAAGACATTACAAGAATTCGGGTTTGTATTTGAGGAAGGCCAATTTTTGTGACGAAGAAAGAACGACGCGATTGAGAGAGCGAATGTTTGTCATCGACATCGAAACTCAATCAAATCTGTCATAACAAATGGATACACATATCATAGACCAGTGCCAACCCGATTCAGTGGCTTTGTGGTATACGTTTCAAGGCTCTGATTGTTTGTTTTTTGTTGCAACTGCTTTTTTGCGAGAATCTTTTAAGTCGTCTTCGATTTGGTGTTGTTGAATGCGATGAACATCTGTGCTGATCTAATCAAATGAGTTCAATGCTTTCTTCGTATTTTCAACAAAATTCTATTTGCATCTCAAGCAATTCTATTTCAAACAAATCTCAGACACTAAATCAATTCATTCACTTAATTCAAATTGTTTATCAATTTGCACATCGTAAATGTATAATAACAATTCAATTGCTCGTTGTTACACTCAAATTCAAAATGAATTTAATAATCGTGTTTGTATGCGAGCTTTTTTTGTGTGGTGAATGTGAATGAAGAACAGTTGTTTCTGAGCTTAATGAGTGAATATTGACAGCAGTTTGAAGATTTGATCATTAAAGAGGCAGCACCGATAGAAGTTTCCGATGATGTTTACTTACTAATATGTATGTGATTGTAGATTCGAGTCGTGCAGCAATTTCGTTTACCTACGTTTAATGTACCAATCACACGTAGAGTTACATGAAACTCACAAATTGCCTAGTTCTTCTAAATTATTTCCATTGATTTCCGTTGTAAGTGTTGTGAAAATTACTTGATGTGTTCTTAGCGCGTCGTGCACTCAAAATTATTGTTGATTCAAAGCATAAAGAGGTGAGATTCAAACCGCTTGCGAGATTCGAAGCTATAAATCAAATCGAATGTAGAATTAAAGATTGAAAATATTTGATGAATCGAATTTAAAAGTGTATTCAAATGGTGACTGATTCATTCAGCATAAGGTTCGTCCCTTGTGGTTGATTCTTCATGCCATCTCTGAAAACATCAATAGCAAATTCGGCTGGGTTATCGCTGAATAGAGAGGCGAATGAATTAAGACAATGTGAATTTAATCAAATCAGTTCAATGCGGTTAGGCTTATGAAGTAAAAATTATTTTAAATTGAATGTTTTACACTCAGAGAGATACACTAAGAGCCAATACATGTAAGCTTCATCGTAAATTCGATGTAACGTCAATGGAATTATCTCGCCGCTGTTTCATTTTTGATTGTGTAATCAATACAATGCGCCATTTATTCAATTCAACTTAGAGTATCACTGATGACGATTTTTACTTCCTTCATAACGAGTTCATGTCTCACTTTTGAGTCTCATTGATTGCTAAATATCTTGTTTTCATCGATGAATATTATTGCGTTACATTCTCTATTTCAAGGCTTCATACGCATGAAGATGTGAATCCACAATTCGTTGCGTAGTTTGATAGAAATGACAAGTGAGCGATCACCGGAACATATGCAGTATTCCCTGACCAGCACCTCTTTCGTAGTCGCTTTCATCCGATACTTTAATTAGATGCCATAATACTGAAGTAGCGTTCAGAGTTCTGAAAGATTATTGATAATTAATATGGAGCTAATTACTATTTAAAAACTGACTAAGACTAGCAATGAAATCGAAGCGATCACAATGTTATGTTATCTTTTTTTGCGAGTAACAACAAAAGTATTCGTATAGTGATTCAATGATAAACACAAAATTAAGTGTCACTTTCGTACTGAACATCCGTGGATTTCTCATCCATCCATTATCAGTAAACACATGCTTAAGTTTTCCTTTAAGTTTTTTTTTCTTAAGCAAATATTTTTCCTTTAAGTTTATTATTCCTCTTTACATGTTTCCATTACTAGCTCTTCATTTTTCTTCATTCTTCTTGCAATGCATGATTAATCTGGGGAACGATTTTTTGAAGATAACACTCCACTTACAGAGGATGCCCTGCCTTTAGAGAGGTAGTTTGAGTTCGAAACGAAGAGCTCAAGCCAGGGCCACTTTTTAAAGCATAGTTGGTCGGAAATCCTCTACTGCCGAGGATCTTTTGGCATCTTCGAAGTTTCCAGGACTCCTCGACTTTCGGGGCACCCCTCGGACCCCGAAATCTGCTTTACCGCTGACCCAAGCCTAATTTTAGAGGCAAAAGAGATACTTGAAATAATTCATAGCAAATATTTGGGGTGAAATTAATCGTAAATATTTCACACGGAAACTTGGCAAGAAAAGTGTTTTCAATAGAAGTTTTCGCGAAATTCTTAATGTCCAAATTCATTGTGTCATCAAATTCAAACGAGTTTCATTGCGCAAAAAAGTTTATGCTTCCGTTTACGATTGAATTTGAATGTTGCGAATTCGTCAGTGTCAGTTCCTGCAAATGAGACAAACTGAGGTGTATCGATGGCCAAATTCAGAGCGATTCATTGAAAAGTGAAACCTATGCGCGTGGGAACATCAGCTGCATTGAGCTGAATTTTTTTCGCTTTTTCGAACTAATTACATTCTCCGAAAATTGTCTCAACAATCAACAATAAGAAAGTGATCTGTTACGAAGCACATTCTTTCTTCATTTACGCATTCTTTTGCACTTTTTCAATTGTTTTGTGTTAAGTCGATTCCGTCATTCTTCAAATCTTCATGACCGCAAATTGTATACACCGCTATATGAAAAGATTACTGCAACAAATTTTATCCTACTTACTGAACTGTAACGTTCAGTAAGTATGATAAAATTTGTTGCGTCTCCACTGACGGTCATGAAAACAGGAATTAGGAACAATGAGATGAATGAAATGATGTTCACATTAAGAATGCTAATAACAGGGATGCTGCTGAAAATTCTTTATTCAGATGGCTGAAGCGTATCGCAGTGAAGGATATTGCAATGGTGTTTCCGATGGTTGTTAGACAAGAATATCCGGGGGGGGGGGGGGCTGCTGATTTTTCCTGCTAAATATAATCGGTATCCATTGCATAACTTTCGCCCAGTTGTAGATCTATGATTTGAGAAGCATAGATCTGCTCTCAATACGAACCTATCCGTGTTTTACGTAACTTCCTCTCGGATCCACCAACGCTATCCGAGTTCGTACGTGCATTCGACACTGCACGGTTATTGCATTCGCGAACTATTTCAAAAAGTCTCACAATCAATGCGCTCATCGCTGAGTTGAGCTTGAATAAACGGAATTCAACTCAACTCAGTAATGTCATGATATATTATACTACTTTACATAAGAATTTATGTATCAAGGCGATGCTTTGCACACACTACGCAGCTTTATAGACCAGTTAGATTTGTTTGTATTGGACAAATCGCTTCTCCTAGTTTATGAGAACGTCAAATGCTTTCTCGAGATTACTTCGCACTTCATTAAAATCACTCATCGACTCTGTCTCATCGCAACTTTTTAAAAATCTTTTCACTTTGTACATTTTCGAAAAATCTTCATTAGTAATATTTTGTTTCAACGTTCATTATTATTCTTCGTCTCACCACCATTGTCGATGTGGTCAATGCAAATGACAACAATATTTCCTAGTTGTCACCATTGCGCTTCTTTATGCATCGATCCTCTTGCAGCTTCGACATTATTTCATTCCTGATGACACTAGGAAGTGCTGAGGTATCAGAATGTCGAGTGATCACGAAGCTGATGGTGACCATCATAAAACATTGATATGATTGCTGCGGGCAATATAAATTACCATGCGCCCCCTAAAAGAGGATTCAGTTCGATCACTGCTATTATCAACTCGACAGACACATCAACTGCCAACTTTGCAGTTTTTACAATTTTGAATATACCTATCTTGATCAATCAAGAAGCTTTTCGTCGTCAGTCACCGATGATCTCAAGTCAGAATGATAATGCCAAAGGAAACCTTAATAAGGCTACTTCTTAACAGTTCATATCCACCGTGCCATCGATAGATATGAAATCTCACAAAAAATTGTGATGGTGCAAAAACAAAAAGCAATTCATTCTGAATGCTGAAAGTCACTCCATGCAGGCTTATAAACTTGCAGGCTCGCTTCGTGGTGGTATTCAATGTCAGTACTTCATTACACACACACTCACATACTATACATACATTACACAAGTACAACCGATTATACGACTGACTGCGA